CACACACACACACACACACACACACACACACACACACACACACACACACATACACACACACACACACACACACACATACACAGGGAGAGTACACGTATACCAGTACTGACATGGACATGGCCTCAAAGTCCATCTTGGTGAGTGGTTGTCGGGAGCTCTTGTGTGGTTTGCTCCTTTTTTCCTATCAAACATCTATCGTCCTTATCTCTCCTCCTTCTTTTCTGTGTTTGTTACTCTCTTGTAACACCTCTAATCTTCGGCACTGATATGACCTTATTGTGTTGCAAGTGCTGTAAAACTCTTACAATAACAAAAAAACAAAAGTCCATCTTAGATGAGCATGGGAGAAACGGGGAGTGGAGGGGAGGAAGGATAGGAGGAGGGGAGGGGAGGAAGGATAGGAGGAGGAGGGGAGGAAGGATAGGAGGAGGAGGGGAGGGGAGGAAGGCGGGGGGAGAATGAAGCTTCTCTTCTCAGTTTGTCTACATCACTGTCATAGGTGAGCCTAAGGTTATGGGGAGGGTAGGGGGGAGAGGATGGAACTGTCTCATGCAAAAGACCCGAGTTCTATACCAGAGTGACAGGGTATGTACGGGTATTGGGAAACTGGAAAACTGCATATGGCCTCACATTATAAAAAGATTACAACTTGTAAGAAGACGAACAAACACGACCTCTTTCTTGCCTGCCTGCTGGTGAATGACTTTGTTGTTGTTTGTTTTACACTGAAATCTCGTGTGAATTCAAAACGAGACAATGTGTGACGTATCAAGACGGGGAAATAATTGTGATATTAAAGAATCGTTATTTCAACATTCGCAAAATAGTTCATTCTCATTTTTACATTTAATAACATCAGTCATACATTACACACACCTATACCATTTCACCATTTTCACCCTCACAATTCTCCCTCTTGTTGTCGTTGTCCTACCCCCAGGGCGGTGCCACTTACTGAAGTGTCTTTAGGCTATTCCCAAAGGGGGGACATGTCTCATTCATGCACAGTAGAATTGTAAACGGGCTGGTTCATCAATGTCACGCTCATAACTGTTCCTGAGCTACAACAGGGAACTGCTGCTTTTTCTTTCCTAATCCTTACTATTGTCATTTTCCTCTACTTCTTTTGTTGGTTTATCACACTCTTGTGACCCGCTATTTCCGGGGTGCCTTGATAGTCGAAGCAGACTCTGTGCTGTTGAAACTAGAGAGGTGAGCAGAGTAAGCCTGATTCCCTGTAAAGATTTCTCTGTTGACACCCACCCTTTGGCGCTCATATGACCTAATGCAGTTGCGAGCGCTGTTGTTGTTGTTGTTGTTATCGATCCAGCAACAGCTGGGCTCTCGCCCTTCTGTCCAATGCCATGTAGTGATAAGTGCAGGTCTGCTGCAGGCTGCGAGCGCTGTAAAACCCTCTAGTTAAAAAAATAAATAAATAAATGTCTTCATTCCCCAGGTCCTCCGGCCGAGGCCGCAGGCGTCCACGTGAGGGACCAGCCCGTGGTGACCAATGCAGATGTAGCTGACCCAGAGAGCACGCCGGACCTGGCCACCACGCGCTGGGTGGTGTGGACGGACGGGGACGATCACGGGGGAACCATCACGCACTACTTCGTCGAGTTCCGCACTAACTTTGACCTGGCCTGGAGGACCCACCCCGACGGATTCAGTAAGGATTAGGGGTTGTTCCCCCTTCCAAGGGCTTGGGAGTTGTTCCCCCTTCCAAGGGCTGGGGGGTTGTTTCCCCTTCCAAGGGCTTGGGAGTTGTTCCCCCTTCCAAGGGCTGGGGGGTTGTTCCCCCTTCCAAGGGCTGGGGGGTTGTTACCCCTTTCACAGGCTGGGGGGTTGTTTCCTCTTCCACAGGCTGGGGCTTGTTTTTCCCTTCCAAGCGCTTGGGGTTGTTCCCCCTTTCATGGACCGTCTATCTTAAAAATAAAATCTGTCGTCCTTATCTCCCCTTCTTCTATTTTGTGTTTGTTACTCTCTAGTAACACCCCTAATCTTCGGCTCTTATATGACCTTATTGTGTTGCAAGTGCCATAAAACTCTTACTAAGACTAAAACTGTGTGTTTCCATCTGCAGATATCCCATCATACCTGACGGTCCACGAGTCGTACAAAGACAAACATTTCGCTCGTCTCACCAAGCTGAAGGCCGGGGCTGGAGTGCAGTTCCGAATTCGTGCCCGCAACGTGTACGGAATAGGAAGTCCGAGTCTGCCCACACGTAAGCTTTCACGTCGGTCGTGTGCGCTCACCTAGCTCATCATCATCATCATCATCATCATCATCATCATCATCATCATTGCCTTTCTCACCTTGAATCGGGATATAGGCCACGAACAAACACTTTCCACCTTTCCCTAAATCCCAGATTAGACGTTTTTAGTGGGAGGTTGGTGGGTGCTCTGGTGTGGTGTGCTCCTTCTTTCCTACCTAACATCTATCGTCCCTATCTCCCCTTCTTCTTTTTTATGTTTGTTACTCTCTTGTAACACCTCTAATCTTCTGGCGCTCATATGACCTTATACAGTTGCAAGCGCCGTAAAACCTCTACTAAAACAAACAAACGAGTAAGTTTTCACGCCGGTCATGTGATCTCAGTTGGCTCAGTTGTTATCATGCTGGACTATGGAGTGGATGGTCCTGGGTCAAATCCCAGACTCATCATCATCATCATCATCATCATCATCATCATCATCATCATCATCATCATCATCATCATCATCATCATCATCATCATTGCCTTTCTCACCTTGAATCAGGATATAGGCCACGAACAAACTCTTTCCACCTTTCCCTAGGTCCCAGACTAGACGTTTTTAAACTCAGAATGATAATATTGATGATGATAATAATGATGATAATAATGTTGGTGATAATTAGGATAACACTACTACTACTACTACTATTACTACTACTACTATTACTACTACTACTACTACTACTACCTCTTCTACTACTACTACTACTACTACTACTACTATTACTACTATTACTACTACTACTACTACTACTACTACTACTACTACTACTACTACTACTACTATTACTACTACTAATAATAATATTGATAATAATAGCAATGATATTGATAAATTTCACTGTTATATTTTTCAGCCATGGCTCAAATTAAGGGAGCCAAGCCCAGCCAGACGGTGAAAAATGTCCGCGGTGGAGGCGGGAGTGTGGGGGACCTGTCCATTGTGTGGGACGTAAGTCGTTTTGTTTGTTTGTGTACTCACGGGTGGGACGTAAGTCGTTTTGTTTGTTTGTGTGCTGCACAGGTGCTGGGATTCCGTTGCTTTCCTTCTATTCGTTAGTAACAATAGATAGCATTTGTATAGCGGAAATCCCCACTCAACAGCAAGCTCTATGCGCTTCACAATCTATACTATTACCCCAGCAGACTTGAGAGCATTTTGAAACAACCTCAACTTCCTGGGAAGCATACAGTGCAAGCAGCCATTTATAGGCGCTAAAACACTAACATACTGACAAGATCTTTCACTGTCTATAGCCGGGTACTCATTCCTACCTGGGTGAAGTGAGGAAGTCGGGCCTGCGACTTGAACCCCGCAACCCGCTACCTCTTGATTAAGAATCTGGTAGCGTAACCACTAGGCCACCGACACCACATTATATTATTCACTGAAAGACGGTTATAGAAAAACAGCGATCATTTTCAGCTTTCGCTTTCTGTTTAGCTCTATATTAGCTGTGTCTCTTGCCTGTCTTAATGTTTGCAAATTTTACTCTGTAAATTTTCAGGTGTTTTTTACAATGTCCAAGTGTTTTTATTGTGTACATTTGCACATATGTGCGTGTAATGTGTGCGTGAGTGTGTGTATGTGTGTGTGTTAGTGTGTGTGTGGGTGGTTGGCGGGTGCTCTGGTGTGGTTTGTTCCTTCTTTTCTATCAAATATCTATCATCTTTATCTCCCCTCCTTCTATTTTGTGTTTGTTACTCTCTTGTAACACCTTTAATCTACAGCACTTATATGACCTTATTGTGTTGCAAGTGCTGTAAAACACTTACTAAAACTAAAAAACTGCACATCTGTCGTCCTCATCTCCCCTCCTCCTTTTTTTGTGTTTGTTACTCTATTGTAAAACCTCTTACCTTCAGTACTCCTATGACTTAATTATGTTGCAAGTGCTGTAAAACACTTACTAAAAGTAAAACTTACTCAAACAAACAAACAAACAAACAAACAATCGTTCACCTGTATATCATCCTCTGTCACTGTCTACCACTCGAATAGAGCAAAATGGTTTTTGTTGAATTGATAAAGCCCAAGTTTTTTTGCTATGGGTCGTTCAAGGCACAGTGGCATTGTTGTAAACTGTTATGTATTTGTGTAATATTGTGTATTTATGTACATATTTATTCATGTATTTATGTATGTATGTATATAATTTTAATTATGTATTTATTTATATATGTATGTTTGCCATTGTAAACCACATTGGTGGGCGGTTGGCGGGTGCTCTAGTGTGATTTGCTCCTTGTGTCCTATAAAACATCTATCGTCCTTATCTCCCCTCCTTCTAGTTTGTGTTTGTTACTCTCTTGTAGCACCTCTAATCTTCGGCACTTATATGGCCTTATTGTGTTGCAAATGCCGTAAAACTCTTACTAAAACAAACATAAAATTTCCTCCCGTTTTTCTCGTGTTGCCAGCCGCTGCCCCTGGAGGATCACAACGGGCCCAACCTCAAGTACAAGGTGTCCTGGCGGACGTACGAGGCTGGCAGTCAGTCCGACTCGTCCCAGTGGAGAGATGTGAGTCCTGATTTGTCTACTTTTGTTTTTGTAAAGTGTTTTACGGCGCTCGCAACTGCATAGGTCATATGAGCGCGCGGGACACACCTAATATTTTCAGTTGGTAGGAAATTTTGAATTTTGCCCGGGTGGCGGCCGAAGCCTA